CCCCCCACCTCCCTCCCTTCCAACTCTATCTAAAAATCAATGGGGAAAAAGTATTCTTGGGTGAGGATTAAAAAGGAAGCTTTTTGTTCCTTCTGATATTACATCTAATGTACTTTAAACATACTGTATTCTCTGGAGTCTATGATCCATGACCCTTCAATCAGTCTTATCATTCTCAAGCTTCTCTTCTAATTCTATCCCAGAAGCATGCTGGTGGGTGGTTGGGATCATCCAAGCATGTGTTCGGAGCACTGGTGCGTGTGTGGGACCGGCTGAGGGAACCCCCCCCCCCCCCCCCGCAAGGATATTTTTCCATTGATTTTTAGAGAGGGAAAGACATCGATTGGTTGCCTTCTGCACAAGCCCCAACAAGGGCCTAGGCCAGGGAGGAGCCTGCAACCGGGGTACATGATCTTGACGGGAATCAAACCCGGGACCTTTCAGTCCAGGACCTCTCAGTCCTCAGAGTGATGCTCTATCCACTGAGCCAAACTGGCTAGGGCCAACTGTAGTTGATTTTGACTTTTAAATGAAGACTATGATTTATTTTATATGCAGGAATAATGTTCTTTTTTACAATAGAGCCTACAACTGACCTCTTTTGGGGGGGTGATCATGTTTATTTTACTCTGGCTCAGAAAAAAGGGAATTGGATAATTATTTGAAAGCATTTCTCCATAACCTACAAAGATCTAATTGCTAACTGCCTCCAGTGAGGTGAGAGGTGAGGATTACCTCGGGAGTCAGCAGCGCTTCTGGCTCACCTGCCTTCTTGGTTTAAATTAGTTTGGTTTGGAGAGTGTTGCTATCAGAGCCTGTCTGGACTAGACAGATTAAAATTAGTCTTCCATAAACACTGTGACTGGAAATGTTGACTTGATACCATTGTAATAACCTGGTTATTACTTAATAGGAAAGGAGTAAAGGGAAGACTAGATAATATAGGCATGCCATTTACACAGCTTTGCTAATTTAACACTCTCCAAGTCTGTTCCCCACCGATTGATGGGGGAAGGAAATGGACAAAGGCAGTTTACACGCATGCCCAGTAAAGTCTGAGTGACTTGGGAAGGTGTCTGTCAGTCACACCTGAGAACAAATTAGTGGCCTGAATAGGTGTGGCCACTACAAGGGCATGAAACCTGAATATTTAAACTTCTGAACAAAAGAAGTTCCCTCTCTTGGCCCTTGCCTCTTCTGCATGCCTGCGCTCCTGCCTCTCCCATTGCAGGGGGCACGTTCCCCTGCATTCGCCCATGTGCCTCATAGCACTGTGAGCTCCACACAGTGGACTGATGGACGTTAATTAGCCTGATGCTGAACTGGACCCACCTGCAACATGGATCTGAAGCTTGGGACACTGGCCTTGCTCTTGGTTTTGCTGAACTCGCAGCTGTACCTTTTTCAGAATTAGGTTAAGGGACATGAGACTTTACAGCACAAGGAATGTAACTCCAAACACAGCTTTTTACCACATCTCATTCTCCTATGAGGGCTTCTGAAAATGCTATTTCAGCGGTACCCCAAGAATCTCATGCCCACTAGAGTCTGGGAAATCTGGCCCACTGATTTTCTGGTAACAAAGTGATGCAGCCATTTAAAAAGCAACTTCTGCTCAGCTGGTCTGCTCAGTGGTTGAGCGTCAACCCATGCACCAAAGAGATCACTGGTTCGATTCCTGGTCAGGGCATATGCCCAGGTTGCAGGCTCAATCCCCAGTGGGTGGCATGCAGGAGGCAGCCAGTCGATGTTGATGGTTCTCTCTTGGCAATGTTTCTATCTCTCCCTGTCTCTTTCTCTAAAAAAAAAAAAAAAATCAATTAAAAAACATATATAGAAAGCAACTTATACCAGAAAACTGCTTATGATCTTTAAAAAAAAAGATCTATATAGAATTTAATTCAGAAAAAAAATTTGAATCACAGCTCATGCTTTTCTTGTGTGATTGACAAAATGGTGTGGATGGAGGGAGACATATTCTGCCATTCAGCAAACACTTTTTTTTATTTTTATTTTATTGATGCTAAGTGAAAGAAGATGGATGTAGAAGTCCTTATACTGTCTGATTCCACTTATTGGAAACATCCAGAAAAGACCAATCTACAGAGATAGAAGCTAGATTAGTGGTTGGCCAGGGTGGGAAGAGGTACTGACTGCAAACATAGGTTTGGGGTGGGTGGGTGCTGGAAATGTTCTAATATTAGATTGTGGTGAGGTTGTACAACTTAGTAAATGTATTTAAAAACGAATTATACACTTTAAAAAAATAATGTTTTTATCGATTTTAGAGAGAGGAAGGGAGAGGGATAGAGAAAAGCACCGATGAGAGAGAATCAATGATCGGCTGCCTCCTGCATGCCTCCTCTTAGGGATCAAGCTCAGAAACCTGGGCATGTGCCCTGACTGGGAATAGAACTGTGATCTTCTGGTTCATGGGTCGATGCTCAACCACTGAGTCACGCGGGCCAGGCAGCAAACACCTTTTGTTGTGTCAGTTTTACCTTTGGAATTACATTCTTATCACATTGCCTATTTTTTTAATTTCTAGTGTTACCCAAATGATTTTTTAACTATGAAAATCAGAACTCAAGTTATGTAGATTGTAACTCAAAAAGCACAGTTTTCATTTGATCAAGTGTAAGTGCAGGTGTAAGAAAAAAGATTGGAAAGAGGTAAAGATTTACTTATATATGAATTAATGTACAGTTAAAAAAACTGGAATCTAAGCTTTCAATGAATGTACCTGTAATTACCAGAACATTTGTGTAGGAAAAATTCAGTTTATAGAAAAACATAATGTTAAGTGACTTTCATTTTAGTCAGATGGAGTCAAGGTGGACTCACCATCAAGGTGAGTGAACAATGTGCTTCGCATCAATTAGCATCGACATTCCATCACCCGGGTCACAGGTGTCCAGAGAGCTCACTCCTGTCTGTGTTGAAGTAAACATGGGAAAAGTGTAACATTTACTGTGGAAAGGGACAAAGAGCCAGATCTTTTAGAATACAGAACAGTAGTTTTTAACATTTTGGGTCATGGACTCTCCTCCCAGTCACCACCCCACCCCCAACAGGAACTTAAGTTTAGGGCAGTGATGGCGAACCTATGACACGCGTCAGGTGACACGCGAACTCATTTTTTTGGTTGATTTTTCTTTTTAAATGGCATTTAAATATATAAAATAAATATCAAAAATATAAATCTTTTACTATGATGGCAAATATCAAAAAATTTCTATATGTAACATGGCACCAGAGTTAAGTTAGGGTTTTTCAAAATGCTGACACGCCGAGCTCAAAAGGTTCGCCATCACTGGTTTAGGGGGTTTGCAGAATCCACTGAAACCCATGACACGAGGCCTGACCTTTTGCCACCAACAAACACAGATTTAGCCAAGCAGATTACAACTTATTTAGGTCTTTCTTTTAATGTAAAAGGCATTAACAGTTTTGAACAAACATTTAGATTACTGGCCTTCTCTTGTGCTGCTTTAAATGATGACTATATGTGCATCAGAAAATGAAGTCTTGCCCTGGTCAGTGTGGCTCGGTTGGAACATTGTCCCATATACTGAAAGGTGGTGGGTTCAATTCCTAGTCAGGGTACATACCTAGGTTACAGGTTTGATACCCGGCCCAGACACCTTTGGGAGGCAACTGATCAATGTTCTCTCTCTCTCTCTCTCTCTCTCTCTCTCTCTCTCTCTCTCTATATATATATATATATATATACACACCTTCCTCTCTCTAAAATCAACTTAAAAATATAAAAAAGAGTGAAGTCTTGATACTTAACCATTTAATTTGATGCCTCATATTTAGTGGGTTTGACCAAATTTAAAACCCTGCTGGAGTGCAGGTGATGAAGGGAAGGGACAAAGTTCTCAAACATCCATCCTGTGCCTGGCAGTGTGCCAACTCAGGATCCTGCAGAAATTGGCCCACTGGTCCCTTCTTTCAGGCACTGGCTTATCACCAATTAGCCCTCAAATGTGGAGGGCTTAGCGTCTAGTAGGCCTAGACAGGACTGCTGGGCAGGTGGCCCTGTCTGATGCAACCTTAATAGGGAAAGGTGTATTTTCACCCTACAGGCAGAATTTCAGAGGAGTGCTCGTGAGCAGGACATGGTACAGCTATCTTTCTACTGGAATTCCAGATGTAGATACGATAAGTGAACTAGCTCTGATTTAGCAGGATAGCTACAGATAATTTGCCAGATGACTTAGGATGATAATTGTCAAAGAAATGGGAAAACAAGAAAAACAAAGGCATCTAATTATTAAAATATGCTCATATAGTCAGAATAGTATGTCAGTAGAACATGCATACATATCTTAATAAAGTTGTGCATCTCCACATACATCACATGGACATAAATTCAGTCTGAGATCTGAAGCTAAGCATTTATTTGCATCTCAAGATTCAGTGCAAAATTCCACTGGAAAAGAAATGTTTGCATGGTGGGACTGGGTGGGATCCTCCAGACTCTGGCAATGGGTTGAGGGCTTAATGCAACATTTCTTATTTAAATGGTTCCATGAATATGTGGTTTCAAACAGAAACTGGTAGTTATAATCTCCAATGTCTAAATCATCATGATTTGTGTTTTGATTAAAGATTAATCTGAGGGGTGAGGGCCAATAGGTACTTGAGTAAAATCCAATATTTATTATATTTAAAATTTTTAAGTTCCATTTTTAAATAATAAAGTGTTTCATTTAAAATGTACACTTTTAAAGGAAGTATGACAGAGTGTTTAAGTGGGTCTATTTATTTATTTATTTATTTTTTAAATATATTTCATTGATTTTTTTACAGAGAGGAAGGGAGAGAGATAGAGAGTTAGAAACATCGATGAGAGAGAAACATCGATCAGCCGCCTCCTGCACATCTCCTATTGGGGATGTGCCCGCAACCCAGGCACATGCCCTCGACCGGAATCGAACCTGGGACCCTTCAGTCCGCAGGCCGACGCTCTATCCACTGAGCCAAACTGGTTTCGGCGAAGTGGGTCTATTTAGAAAAGAGCATTTGTGCAAGGCTTGTTCTTCCTGAAGGTTTCTCATGTAGTACAGAGGCAGTAATTCCCAGTGAACAAATATGGGATTGCATTTCTCAAGATGAAAGCAATCACAAGGTCTGCACGAAGTAAACTTATTTAGTTTCCTAGTAATGGTCTTACCGTTTGTTCTTTGATAGCATTGTTGATCCCAGCTTGTACCATTAAGGCATTCACATTCCTCTGCAAGTCCTGGAGGCGGTTTCCCATTTCTTCCAGTTCCACATTAAGGAGCCCAGAGCCCATGGCCAGAAAGCCCTGCTTCAACCTGCAGCCCAGCTGGGGGTCTGACACATACCCTGGCCGGGCAACTTGTAAGACATCTGGGGGTCAGTGCAGAGACTTCCCTGAGGTTTGTGTAGGATGACTCTAGCCTCTGAATATGAGCTCGGCTCTGAAACTTGGCTCCCCTGCGAGGACACAAACTCAGGGATGTGTGTTACTCTGGTATGTTTAACTATGTCTTAACTAAACTCTAATGAGGATGTAAACATAATGGACATTAACTCAGTTTAACTTTATCATGTCTCTAAGAATCATTTTTCCCATCTGTGGGAACCCAGCTACAGAATCAGAAATTCCAAGTTCCATATGCAAATACTTTGCACAGTTTTTAAGGAGCTCAAGTAGGGCAGATGTTACCCTTGTCTGAATTTGCTCCAACTGGAAACAAACATTCTATTCTAATTGTGTTTGAATTCATGTCTTAACAAAACAGTGAGCTGCTCAAGTTATAAAACCAAACCAAACAGGTAGGGGAGCCAGGTGTAACGCCCTATGTTGGAGGCCTTCTGTGTTCTGTCTGCCGGTTTCTGAGTGCGTAGAGTATGACATTACCTAGCAGACCGCCGATTTTTATAGGGCTTGGCCCGCTGGGGAGTCATGTGCAGCGTGTCCACATATTTTATTGCCACACAAAATGCCCTGTTCTGCCGGTCAAGCAGGAAGAAATTACCTGCCTGGTAATTACATCAGGATGCAAGGAAATCCGAGGTCAACAAATCTCCACTAAAAAGAGATTCCATGGTAATTTAACAGTTCAAAGCATCTCAGTATTTGCTATAAGATGGAAAAGGATATTTCTGAGGTTTAATGTTGCAGTCAGAGCTTGAAAATGTTCTTGAAGTTCCTGAAATAGATTTTCTGCCTGAAAAAATAAACCATAGGACAACTGAATATATATAACATTTACTCTTGATATGGGGCATTTTAAGCATCATAGACTAGGATTGTCCACATATATAGTTGATTTTTGACAAGGAAAGTCTTTTCAACTAGTAGTGAGGGACATTGAGGAACAGGTACATAAATGACTAAGCAGGCCAGCCCCTACCTCACACCACACACAGAAACTCACCCAACAGGATTCTACACCTACACGTGAGCACCAGGACTACAATTTCCGAAGACAACAGGCAACGCCTTAGTCACCCTGGGCTCCTCAGAGAACTTCTCACAGGAGCGGACAGCCTGGACACAGGCGGCCTCTGCCCCCTTACTAGGGGTTATTAGCTGGGATCAGCATGGCAGGAATGTCTCACAGAAATGCCACCACTGCCGGGAAGGCAGGCCACCTTGACATGTTGCTTCATACTTTGCAAATGAAACCTCAAGGATTATCTCCACAGAGTAGGGAACCTGCAATCTAGAACCTGCATTTCTGTGTGAAGACTGCTGCCAGCTGCCAGCAGCTGTTTCCTTCCTTGAGAGGGTTTTGCTTTCCTGGGGAAAAAGGTTTAAGTACCAACATCTGACAAATTCTTTTTAACAAGACGTAGGCATCAGCCTTTAATCAGTGGTTCTCAACCTTCTGGCCCTTTAAATACAGTTCCTCATGTTGTGACCCAACCATAAAATTATTTTCGTTGCTACTTCATAACTGTAGTGTTGCTACTGTTATGAATCGTAATGTAAATATCTGATATGCAGGATGGTCTTAGGCGACCCCTGTGAAAGGGTCGTTCGACCGCCAAAGGGGTCGCGACCCACAGGTTGAGAACCGCTGCTTAAATGGTGCTTCCTGGTCTCTGCCAGCAGGAGTGTGGGTGGGGGCACTGCCGGGCTGCGGGCGGGTGGTTCTCTGGCTGCCCCCTACAGCAGGGCACCCGCACGTCCCCACCCCCATCCCTGGCCCGGGAAGGGGTGAAGCACCGGGAGGGCCTGGAGGGAGGTGAGGGGGGCGGGGTCCCCACTCACCAGTTCCTGCAGCGCGCCCCCCGGGTCTTTGAGTCCCTGCGCCTCCATGTGGACTCGGGTGGGCCAGCGGTCCAGGGGGTTCAGGTGGCTCCGGTGGCTCAGCGCCGCCGTGATCCTATCTGGTACCCGCAGCGGTGGCCTCTGGCAGGGCTCTGGCTGCGTAGTGAACACCTGAGAGCCTGGACGAGCTGCAGCCGCCAGCAACTTAGGTGCCAGTGAGTGGTGAATTCCTGGGCGGGGCGCGGATGCCCAAGCCGGGAGACGCTGAAGCTGCAGGGCAGGTCCTGGGAGAGGGCCTGGGAGGGTGGCGGCTTCATCCTGAAGGTCATTGTCATCGTCCCTGGGGCGGAGCTGGGACCCTCTGCAGGGACAAGGCCTTTGGTCTGAGTGGTCTCACAGCTCTGGTTTGCTTTTTTCATCACTTTGGCGATGAAAGAGGTAGCCATAGATCTAGCAGAACTCCTCC